GTCATACAAATAAATAAAATCTTAAAAATATATAAAAAAAAAAAAAATGAAAGGGGAAGATTCTCAAATGGTCTGCCCTTCTCTTGCAGCATCAGCAAAAATACACTAAGGGGAAAAAATACACTACATTAACAGAACGTCCAGCCGATCCTAGGTAAAACTGTTGTTATTCCTTGCTGGTCTCCCACCTCCCTTTCTGAACATCCTGGAGTTCTCACCCTGCCTTTCCCCTTTACTTAATATTCCCCATTAACATACCTCCCCTAGACCGTTCCTGCCTTCATAATGTACCATACTCCAAATTTGCTGATCTAAGCTAAAATGTTATGGGGGCAACAATCTGGTTAACCAATTCCCCAGTGTCATAATAGGCCATCAGTGGGATATCTACACTTTAAGATTTACTTTGGATTACTCTAATGGAGCCTCAAATTTGTAGAATTTTGAGTCATTTGGAGGATTCTGAGCACCACCTTGTCCAAGAAGCAGGGACATCCAGTGTTTGAAGTCAGGCTCTGGGTAAAGGATCCTGATGCTTCAGAGGAACCCAGAGCCACCCACTCTAGCCCACTCTTCTTTTTGTTCTCCAAATCTAATCCTGGAAACACTCTTCTCATTTTACTAATTTCCTAGGCTTAGGAAAATGATGATTATTTCCCATTATGTCTTTTTTTCTCCTGGTTTCAAATATCTAATATTTGGGGGACATATATATATCACACTTCAAGCACTCTCAGATATGGGGCCCCAAGCTCTCATCTGTATATATGCATCTGGCCCTTAACAGGCAATATCTCATTTAATCCCTCCCAGCAATCTTGTGCAATGGGCTTCCTAAACCCCACTTGGCAAAACAGGCCAAATTTGCCCAAGGTCATGCAGCTAATGTGCATTCAAAGTCACTTTCCTTCATTTATGCAAACACTAGTTTTAATAAGGACTAGAGTGTGTCAAGGCTGTGTGTCATCTACTAGGCAGGAAGATAGAGCCCTTGCTTAGAGATCTTATATTCTAGCAAGGGAGAATGAAACAGGCAGGTAGAATAAAGTCAGTCTGTTTATTTTCCCCTTTACCATGCTCTGGGAAACCTTTACCCAGGGCTCTGACTTCCCTGGGATACCAGGAGGAAACACGTGTGATGACAAAAATACAGTCTCCAAACTCATAGGCTTTCCACTAAAAAAGACTTGATTTCAAATCATGGTTTTGCCACTTACTATGAAGTTTCGGCAAGCTACTTAATCTAAGTTTCCCTTTCTCAAGACCTTGGGAGTACACCTTCCCAGGTTTGTCTGCTCTCAGCTTTCACGTGTCAGCTCAAATATCATCTCCTCAGAAAGGCCTTTTTTGACCACTGAAGCTAAAGTGTATTCCCTCCAATGCAGCCCTCCCCCAAGTTATCTATAGGCTACCCTATAACAACCTGAAATCGCCTGGTTTATTTACTGAGTTACTTGTTTACTGCTTTTCCCTACAGTTAGAGTCTTTGTCTGATTCAAGGCTATCTCCCTAGAAGCTGGGAATAGTCGTGGCCTATAGGAAGCCCTCAATAAATATTTGTTAAACAAATGGGTAAGGCAACCTGGCCAACTGAACAAAGCTTCACAATTTTTAAGCATTTTGCAAACTTAACCCCAAGGTTTATTTAAGCTATCATGACTATTAGTTTGTTCAACTTACCTAATTGATCTGATCTAAGTCCAGCCCATGGGTACCTTCTCCCCACTGAGGGATTATAGGACTCTGACAAATAGGACTTTTTCCACAGAAAGTTTCTCTGGTATTCACTCAGCCCCTGTAATACAAAAGACAATTTGAGTACAATGCAATTAATGAACGTTGCTTTAAAGAAGACATCAGTAAAAATAATTTCTGAACCACTACAGAGTTGAAAGTCTTGAGATTGGTAAACACAGAAGAACTCCTTGATAACAGCTACCGTTTATCCAGCCCAATGCTAAGCAGTTCACACGTATTCTATCCTTTAATCCTCACAACCACCTGAGGCAGATGCTAGCAGGAATCTGAGGCTCTGAGCAGTCACCTTTTTGCTGGGTGTCTGAGTCCAAAGTCTGGGCTCTTGTCTGATAACAGGTGACAATCCAAATCCTCATATAATTATATAATCCTCATATAATCATATAATTATCCTAATTAAGTTCTCAATTGAGTATGATGCCTTGTACCTTTCAAAATTTTGGAAAGTCAACCAAAGAAAAATTCCCCTCCCATTCTGGATACAAGCCCTTAAGTTAAAAGAATAAAACAGGGTTTGTGAAATGCTGTGGCCAACTGTTACACTGATGGGTGCCTGACAGCTACCACCTACCTGAAACTTATGCACAACTATGAACAATGTGTATTTCTTACACCCTATCTTTACATTGTCAAGGTCCCATTTCTCAATCCTTTAAAAGACACCGGCACTTTAAAGTTTTAAAGGGTAGGCAGGGGGCGGGGGTTAAAGGATAAGCTGTGAGATGGGGCCACAGGTGTCCCAATCTGAAGCCACTTGAGATCTCATTACAAAGTGCCCTCCTTCCATCTCCACTCCCGTGTCCTCCAAAATCAGGCTCTCTCAACACCATCTAACGCTCCCACACTGCAACTTGGAAGTGTGTGTGAGCGGAGAGGGAGCTAGGTGGAGGAGCCAAGCATCCTCCAGGATCGTGACTGGCAAGCTCGGGAGCTGGCAGGCTCTGCGGGGCCCAGGAGCGCCGCGCAGAAAGCCAGCGAGGCCCCCGCGCCCCGCACCCGCCCCACCACGACTTCCCACAGCAGCCTTCAGATCCGGAGACCACGGCCTCACCTTGAAGCGCACCGGCATGTCGCCCGGTACTGGAGCCCCCGCCACTCCGACAGTTAAGGGGACAAAAAGCCCCGAGGGGGCGGGGCGACAACAGTCGGTTCCCTAGCAAAATCCTCGGCCTGGCGTCCCCGACTACGCGCCGGCGCACTCCGGGCTTTCCTCCTTGAGCGCCGTCGCTCTGCCTTTCCCCGCCCACTCTGAGGCCTAAGAACCAATAGGGACTCGGAGAACTTCTTGTGGTCGTTAAGATTCGACCAATCAGTGCCCGAAAGAGAGACGCCCGCCTCCCGTGACAAATCCCGGGGACTAACAGAAATGGCGGGCGGAAGACTGGCCAATAAGGCTCCCGGAACCGGCGTGGGTGGGGCCCACCAGCGGGAGCTTCGTCCTGGGGAGAGCTCCGCCGCTCCGGGTATTGCGGGTTTTGTGTGACAGTGGGTCTACCGGCTGGTGGGATTCGTGTGTCGCAGGCCTCGCTGGGCCGAGTTCGTGACGTCATAAAACATGAAGGTGTGTTCTTAATTCCAGATCTGTGACGAAACCGAAATGTTTCTTTTTCTGATATGAAAATGTTCAGGTCTATTCTCCTGAATACCCGTTCTTCTGACAGCCATGTTACACTACTTACTGTCACATCAAAAGGGGTCGGCAAAAAATAAATATTGCTTAGGCAGGCCAAAAAAATTTTTTTAGTAACTCTTGAAAGAGAAACTGCTTACGTCCAGTGATGTTCTTGCGTCCAGTTCTCCCACTACCCCGCCCCCACCAAAAAACATGCACATAGAGCTCTTATGTTAGAAAACGTGAATGATGCTTGTGTCAACTTCCAAAGCTTCGGCGTTGTCTCTCCTCTCACTCATTTTAAAAAATAAAATTCCATCTGATTTTAATAGACTGTTGCCATCATCATCAATAAATATTTCTCCAGATTCTACCATTGACAGAACACTGTGCTGACTCTGAGAATGGGAAAGAAATTGTCCAGACAGTTGTCTAATATACTTGCAGAGAATGAACATCTATTTATTCAATAATAGTATAATGTTTCATGTACTAAATTTTCAAATGATAGGTATAATAATAAGGGCTATAGGAGTTGGAGGAGGGAGTTGTCCTTAAGGGCAGAGATGATTAGAAGAAGCCTCAGGAAGAAATATTCAGACTCAGCCTTGAAGATTAGAAGGACTGAAATAAGTAAAGAGGAAAACGGGACCATCAAAGGGCAGATGTCTGAATGGAATGCTGCCAGGCTTCTTTCAGGAACAATGAAAACAGTGCCTTTACTTTTGTCATTTGTTGACTGAAGAAAAGTATGCCCTCTTTTAAACTTTCAAATATTAATAGCAGTCCTTGATGCTCTAAGCATTTTCTGCAAAGCCTTGTGTTCCTGAATCCTAATTGATGTCTCTGTTCTTCTTCATCATCACAGAGATACTTAAAAATTCATTTGAAGGAGGCACCTGATATCTGAAACAAAGAGAATATTAAATTAGCCCCTATGTGGCCATGCATCCAGGGGGCCCTTGATAAATGTTAATTGGTGATGACAGCATCTCTGTCGTGTAAATTAAGAATGGCACAAACAAGACACGGTGGAACATAAAACAAAGGTCCTTTGCAGGAAAACAGCCCAGATCTTACAGAGTAGGAAAAACACAACTCTGGTTGTATACACAATTTTGTTACCACATAATGCTGAGGTGAAATCAGCAAAAGCAAGCATGTAGAACGTAGCCTGTCTGCTAAACAAGGGCCATGATAACTGCAGTAGAGCTCTACTGAGCAGGGAATAAATGACAAGAACAGCAGAGGGTAAAAATAACTGAGTCATAACCTGGGTTTGCTGAGATGGGTTATAAGGATTCAAAGAAGAGTACTTTATTTCGTTATTTTTAAATGAAAGCCCACTCAAGCTAATGAGGCAAAGACGTGGAAATGAAAAAAAGGGACAACCTTAGTAAATGAGAGTTTGTAGCCTGTGTTTTACCAGCCTTTACGCTCTCTACTACCACAGGAAACAGACCCAGTACCTGCAGTGTTCCACCCAAGAGTTTTGGGGAGTCCCTAGGAGGTGTTTCACATGTGCTTACAGCTAGCACATATGGTATGCTGGGCAACACTGCCTCAAATTCCAATAGCCACACGTCTGTATGTGTCACTCTTGCTGCTGGCCACCACAGCCACATTTGCTGAGTACTGAGTCTCCACTGGGCACAGCATGAAGCCTCCTCAGACTGCCCCACCCTGCTGGTGATCTGTGACAAGGCACCTCTCTCCCATTTTTGTGTTACCCTCTATTAAGTGAGTATCAAAGTGTCTTAGAGGGCTTTTCCATTTGTATTTTAGCCTTCCTTCTCTCCAAAGGGAATTCCACGGAGTCTGAGCCAGAAAGTAATCCTCAAGTGATAGGTTTCATTGTGTCAATCTATGACCTTCTATTCTAGACGTGCTTCTCTCTTCCACCGACCAAGGCTCTCTTACTAGGACAAGGGTGTCATACCTGCCTCCCTCTTCCCTTTGTTGATTTCTCTATTTCTCATGCAATTAGATTTCTCTTTATTACCTGTGAGAGATTAAATTAGTACCACCTCTATGAAGGACAATTTGGCAATCCTTTTGACCCAGCGATTCTACTTTTATAACTTTATCTTACAAATATACTTGCCCATATGTGAAAAATATTTAAGGTTGTTTACTGCATTGTTTAGAGTAACAAAAATTGGAAACAATTTAAATGTCCATCCTAGTTAAATATATTATGGTTGCTCCAGGGCCCAGAGCAAGAACAGGCTATGCAGCAGGTCCAGGTGACAGCGCAGGCTGCTCTGCTCCTTGGGACTTCCAACCCAGCAGATCCAGCTGGGTCAGACCCACTTCAGGTGTCAAATATTACATCCATCAGGGTCTGGCTGGGAAAACAGAAACTACTAGAGGCATTTCAAGAAAGAAAGCTTACTATAAACTGTTGGTTAATGAGTTATTGGAGAACTTAGAAAAACTAAAAGGAGAAACTGAGGATAGTAATTCCAGAAAGCAGCTCATACCCCTGAGGTTAGAAGAGCAGAGGAAAATGTTGATGTTACTGGAACACAGAGGCTTACCCTAGAAGCTTCAGGGAGTTGGCCAGACCTCTGAGAAGGGTCACTGCCCAGCTGGTACTGGTGCCTCTTAGGGAACAAAGTCAGGCTGCCTCTGGGAATGACAGGGAGGAAGGAAGGAAGGAAGGAAGGAAGGAAGGAAGGAAGGAAGGAAGGAAGAAAGGAAGGAAGGAGAGAAAGAAAAAGGAAGAAAGAAAAGAGAAAGGAAGGAAGGAAGAAAAGAAGGAAGGAAGGAAGAAAAGGAAAAGTTGGCGACCAGCTGCTGCCATGGAAGAAAAGGTCATCATTAAGGTGCTGAGAGCAAATAGTGAGCGAAAGCGAGCATTCTGGTCTCTAGTGTTAGTTAGTTAGCAGGGTCCAAAGGGTCTGCAGAGCCCAAAAGGTAAAATTGGAAGTGAGAGACTGTAACTTGTTAACTTCCACCCATCCAACCCTTAAAAAGAAAGAAGCATTTTTTAATGAGCTAACATGGAAGGAGTTAAAAAAAAAAAAAGCAAACTATAGACATCTGTATAGTATACCATCAGTTGGGATAAAAGAAAGACAAAGAAAAAATGATGTTATATAATAGCATCATTCACAGGCACTTGTTCCCTCACTCATGAGTCTAACTCTATTAGCAGCAGCTATGAAGATGAAGAACATTTCATTCAACTTACTTATAAATACATGGAAACTTTAAGGTATTGGTAGTTACTATGGCTATTCTCTTTACATAAAATCACTCCATTAACCCTTTCTAGATTCACTTTGATTTGCATATATTGCAATAAGTCTGTTGCTTCTTTTAGAGACAAAGGCATATCAAAATCCTTTAAAAACAACTTTTATTTGCACTTAAAATATAAATATGGTACCTATTCTATTAAAAACAGGAAGTCAATCACTTCACAAATCTAACAATCTCCCATCATTTTCTTGGCAGCAATTGAAACATTGGAGAATTTGTACTTGTATTCGAATTTATGTTTGTGTTGAATCTGTATGTGCCTCTAACCATATTTTTATTTTACAAACAAAAATGTATTACATATAAGCAGAACACTGTTATACAAAAGGGTTGAGGAAAGAAAATACAAAGATGAGTAAGACACAGCGCCTGCCTTCCAATCTGATTACAGTCAAATGAGGGAACAGACGCATACACAAAGAGCTCAGGAAAGGATAGAAAGAATGATTCAAGGAAGGGGCTAAAAGTGAGCACTCAGGTATTCTGAAGATGCTTTTAAATCCAGTGCCAGAAAGTTTGAGCCAAGACTGGAGACTAAAGAACAGACAGGTAAGACAGCTGCTTTTAAGTTACATCCTGGGAAACACTTGATCTAGAGGACCTTTCACTTTCCCTTTTGTTCTGCCCTAGGTAGCTGAATCCAGGGCAGAACTAACATTTGCTCAAGATTGGGTCCCAAAAAGGTAAGTTACTTGCTCTCTGTTGTCTTTTTTCTCTTGTTGCTTCAGAAATCAGAGTAATGCTGTTTTAGTAACCACCATTCCATCAGCACAGTGATTCATCCACATTGTGTTTGCATATATGTAATTTTTTTTCTCAGATACCTTGCAAGGTAACTGAAATTCCAGTTTCGAGGCTTAGTAATGCTCTTGAGCTCTGTCACTTCCTCTTGGGTCATATTTACATGGCCTTTCCTTGGTAAATCTTGATCTCAGTCTCTGCCAAAAAGCAATCAGTCTGACAGCCGCTTTCTTTGGCATTTTTCCATCAGTTTTAACTGCTTTTTCCTCACATGAATGAATTTCTGATTGCGCAACTGAAAACAAAAATGACAAAATTAAATCAATGGATTCTGTCTCAGAAGCAAAATTGCTTATACTTCACATTAGTGTCACTAAGAATCAAATAAACAGGGTGTGTGATTAAGACTCACCAATGAGCCAGGAGCAATTTATCCTCCAGACTTTTCGCCATGGGATGCCTTTGTTGACAAAGAAGTGTCTGGCTTTTGAATCAATGGGGCACCTTTGGGAGGGACTCCAGGTTCTCTTGACAACATGTACTTTTTTTTTTTTTTGGTGAGCTCGAGGGACACCTAACCTTATGAGGCCATGACTGAATAAAGAAAGTGATTCTTAGTAAGGCATAAGCCACTGCAAGCCTCACATACCATAATAATATGTTGTGCCTCTGCTGAGCAAGACACAGGGAACAAAATACGAAGGCACAAAATTCTTTTCACTTTAATGCCTTCACTGTTGATGATTCTGTGATCTAAAAATTGCCTTCCCTTTTCTTCAGTGATTATTGTCTTAAATCACCGTCTGTATCAAAGTATCCACAGGGACACAGGTTTTTCTAGAATTTCTAACTCTGTAGATTGGGAAGCATTAATTCTCTGACCACTTAAAATCAGACGTCATGTCTTAAGGTCAGGTCAGAGGACACTGTCTTCCTAAGAACCTTCTAAATCCATACCCTACACCAAAATAAATTTTGAAATATTCTTTTATCACATAGTGTATAGGCACCTTAAGAACTTAAGGTCAAGACCAAATGCCTGTTATTATTCCTTCTGAAATCACTGTTCTATTAGTAATGTTATATCAGATATCAAAAAGGGAGTAAGAATTTTTCAAAACATAAATCAGTTTTCCTCTCCTTAGTGACTTATCATTGTTGGTTCCCTTTAAAACTTACTCATTTGGGTTTTGCTGGAACAATGAGTTCATAAAATCTTAGTACTATGTTGTTCATCCTTCAGTCTCTCAACTTCCGGTAATTGAATTAATAATGTTCGACCCTACAGAGAATGATATACCCAATTGTAAAATACTGCACATATGAGTTTAAAGAAATTGTTTCAATATCACTGAGCACAACTTACAGAATAAGGTTTAGGAATCATGCTCGTTTAAGTTCATCATAGCTGTGGCAGATACTGAGGCTGACACTGCAAATCCACTCCAACCTTCTCACGTACTACGGAAATTAGAAAGTTGAAAGTCCCTTTGACACTAGGCCCCTTCGCAGCTGAATGTCAGGTATAACTTACACTTTGCTGATGAGAAGCACTTGCATAAACTGAATTAGATGGGAGAAAGGCAAAGCACAGGAACCTGTTGTGATGGTGTAAGGCATGGCCGGAGCGGCAGGAGCGTGGTTCTGATCGGGCAGCTCCAGCAGCAGCTGCCTGATCACCGCAGCAGTGACAGAGTTCCGGAGCCAGGGTTTACAGCAGTGGTTTATTAACTTAGCCAGGAATTTCCTGGTTCGACAACTCCTGGCATTAGTGAGTCTATTCTGTGATGTGGCCCTAGAATTTACTTCTTCTGCCTTCCCAAGGATTCTGTAAGCCACTTTGTGCCAGTCATCTATTACCACAATAATGCTGTATAACAAACACCGCCCCCCCCACCAAATGCGGTGGCTTGAAACAATAACCATTTATATTGCTCATGAATCTGTGGGTCAGCTAGCCAGTGCTAGGAGTCTAAGTTGAGCTTGGCTGACCTCACTGAGCTTGCTCAAGTATTTGTGGTCAACTGATGGGGACTTTAGAAGCTGGCTGGTCTCAGATGACCTCCGCTAGGACAACTCTCACTGCTCCTTCACCTTCCAACAGGCCAGCCTGGATTATTCTCATGGGAGAGGAAGGTACCAAGCAGGAGAGCAAAGTGTGCAAGGTCTTTTGAGGATTAGGTTTAGAAACAGCACACCATCACTTCTGCTGCATTCCATTGGCCAAAACAAGCCAAAAGGCCAGCCTGGATTCAGGAGGTAGGGAAATAGACTCAATCCCTTGATGGGAGGAGTTACAAAGACAAATTGTAAAGGAGGAAAGAAAATGTGGGGCTGTTAGTACAATAAATCTGCCTCAACACTGAATACTCTGGAAATACCCTCTCTGCTTTAAATGGCTGAATAAATTATGTTCTCTGCAGTTTAACTCTGGTGGGTTATACATATGCATTTATCTCCATTCCCTCTAAAAATGCTATAAAATGACAGTAAATGAATAAAACTGATATAAATTGGTGAGGTCAGAGAGAATGGCAGAGGAGACAACTGCAAAATAGAGATGTCAACAAATATTGGTGATAGGGAGAACAGAGTCTGTTGCAGGTTGGGCTCTGTGGGAAACAGACCCCAAGCTGAAGTTGAATGTGCTGAATGTTTATTAGTGAGCCCTCTTAGGACCAACACTTGTGAAAGGGAGCGCACAGCAGCAGGATGGGGTAGAAGAAGTCAGGCTTCAAGGCAGGCCTGACAACAACTTCAGCTACCCCCATGCGGAGTCCACAACTGAAAGGGCCTGTCAGCCCTGTCCTGTGCTGGGCCTTAGGAAGGGCACAGCCTTGGGGAAGGTGGTTCCCTGCAGCAAAGGTAACAGCACAGGGCACAGACAGTAACAGCCGCAACGATCCTTCCCTGAAGTGGGACACGGACAAATGCATCACTGTAAGCATGTTCCTACTAACTAAACAAAACAAACAAACAAAAACATGCATTTGGAGCCATAGGCGAAAATATCTCTGTTCCCATGGGGAGCCAGTCTCAATATAGCTATTAGAGCGTGAGTCCCCAAACCTTCAAGAGTGAAGGAGGGTACCTGTCAGCCCTGGTGCCCTGAGTTCTGGTTCAGAATGCCTAGAGACAAAACACCGGACCTGGATCTCATGGTGCCCTGTCCCTTCCCTAGACTGTCTGCTCTACCTTACCATGTCGTGGTTGGCTTTGCTCCTGCATCAGGCCACCCACAGCCTTGTGCTTCCGGAGATTCTGCCCGTGTTGGTGCCAGGCAGACAGGAAAGCCAGATGCAGGGGCCAGCAGGACATTCTGCTTATGAATTTCACAGGCAAAGTGTGGGAATTGGAGCTAGAGAGGAGCACAGGAACCCCTATCTTAGAGAGGAGCAAAAGAAAAAGACACTGGACCTGAGGAACTGGCCTAGGACTTGCCTTTTTATCTATAGGTAAATCAAACTCACATTAAAAAAAAATTGTCAGTACTAGTGAACCAAGAAGAGAAAAAAAAATATTGACTCCCTAAAATTAATTCCCATTACAATCATTTATAAACTGGCTGCTACCATTTATACGTGAATACCATAGAGCACAATAGCAAGCGTCCATGTCATAAAGGGTTTGTTCAGTAAATTGATTGGAAAGCTAAACTTTCCACTATATGGACAGCCGTTAGGGTTTGTTACTTCTTCCTTGGGATCCAAGGCTCACCCCATAACCCTGGAGGGCACACGAGCCAGAGGGCAACTCCATTCTCTCCTGATGAAAGAACACTCAGTGGAACAAATCATGTTTCAAATAAATGTTCTCTTTACAATATAAGCTACTTTCTTCTTTGAATTGTGATGTTCTCTTGATCATGGGCTTTTGTTGTTAAGAAAGCAAGGGTCCATTTCCAGTACATGCTTCACCTCAGCCAAATGCAGTGAAATGTGTGCAAACACTTTGTGAATTGGCAAACATTATAGAAATGTGAGCAGTTCCTGGTATTAGGTGTTAAGAATGGTCTTCTTTTGTACCATTTTGTACCACTCCTCATCTTTGCTCTTCCTAAACAGTGGAACTCATGCAGTTTAACATTACTAATTAGTCTCCAATTTATTGTGAACAATACCTTTTCTGATTATTATTATTTTCATCTAATATTTATTGAGTACTCATTACATGTCTTAGGACTGTATATCCTGGATCAGAATGGTTTCATTAGGGAAACAGGGCCACTGTAAATAGTATAGGAATAAAGGGCTTCATATAGAAATGATGGCTTACATAGATATGAGAGGAGTTGGTGGAGTAAAGGTCTAGAAGGTGGCAGCCAGAGGAGTGGAGAGTCACTGATGTGTTCAGTCTGAAGTCCTAGAGTGTGGATGGAGAAACTCAGCTCATGGGGCATGTCCCAGAATCCTGCAGTAGCTACAGAATGCTGTGAGCCTCTGTGTCCGGTGAAGCCCTAATGAGCCTAAGCAACTATTATCCCAGAAACAATGGTCGCCCTTCACTTTTGCCTTCCAAGTCTTGCACAAGTCACAAACTAAAAGTCACTCACAAACTCCAACCCAGAACCATGTAGGAAAGGAGATTCTGGGAAGTTCCAGATATTCTGGTAGTTTCCAGCCTTAGATAGGAATAATATTGGTGGTGCCAAGTTACCATCAGGCAATGCAGCACACAGACAATAGAAACAAGTGTTACTATTAACATTTTTTGGCAGTTAAAATGCTAAGATGTTTAATGACTTGCCTGAGGTCACATGCTAATAGATGGCAGAGCTAAAACTCAAAACCCAGGTCTGTCTGAGACCTATGATCATAACAACTCTTATTTAATGGCCCTTCAAAATCTATAAATACTGATTATCCGTCATAATATTTAATATTATTTCCTGTCTCTGTGAGAGCCAGAGGCATATGTTTCAACTATTCTAGAACACTGTGGTTAAGAGATACAGATCTCAGGACTAAAGTGATGTGTCAGGGATGCAAGTCGTCTTTGGGGCCGAGCTGAGACATTTCTGCTGCCCAAGGTGTCATGGGTTCAGCAGCTTACAGAGCTACATTATTAGGAAGTCTCATTTCTTCCTCTGGCTGGAAAAAAATTAATGCCTACACCCCTTAATTCTCCCATCCTTTCTACATGCTGTGACCTACACAACGATACCTTGAACCCGCCTTTTGGGAGAGAGGAAAGAATATACTTTCCATTACTCAAGCCGAGTGAAAAGAGCTTCCAGGGAACATTTGGAGATCTTGACAAATGTTCCTTAGACTCTGTGAAACAGAAAGGCTATTATCTAATTCCTGCCTGGGGACACACAATGGTGAGAGATTACAGCTAGAATTGCTGGTTTAATAGCAGAATGACAAGAGGTGGGTGCATTAGGAACAAACTACATTTCTGCCCACAGTAGGGCAAAAACATCTGAGTTTCCTTGTGGCCAAGTTGGACAGATGAGAGGGAGTCCACCTGGGGTCATGTTCGCTCCTACCTCAGAGTATTGCCTAGAGGGGAAATGTGACCCGCAGGTGGATTGTCAGAAGTCCAGGTGCTGAGGGTAGGATCATGGTGCCTATTGATGTACAGCCCCACCCACACCAGGGGAGCTGCTGTCAGAGGTCCTCAGTGGGCACACCTCCAAAACATCCCTCAAGGGGAAAAGCCAGCAATTGCGCACCTGCCACCTCAGAGGAAGTCATCAGATTACAGGCTACACAAGCCACAAAAAGTCTTTTTCATTAATCCCCTCTCCTTCTGAGCCTGGCCCTGGAACGATCAGAAGCAGCAGCTACAAAACAGGGAAAAGTAGATGGACAAGGTAAAACAAGCAAGTAGAGAAGTCAAGTATGTGTCTGTCTCCAACTGGGCACAGTTGCAGGGCAGTGGGGGCAGAAGGAAAGGAAAAAGAAACTGGATCTGAGTTTTATACTACATGAGAACTTTAAAAACTACCAACTGGAGGCTGTTCTTGTGACTAAAAGTAACCAAGGAAATTTTTTTCCCTATCTACGAGTAACTGAAAAAGTTTGGGTACCAAGATTGCATCCAGAAATGGGATCTAGACGGGAAGGAATGAAGTTGATTTCTGCATGACCCTATTCAGTCCAGCTTGTAAGTAAAAATGATTATACCTATATAATAGGAACAATGGGACAACACGAAAGAACTCTTAGCAACTAAAAATATTATAGCAGCATCTTAAAAATGCCATATAGGCGTTAGAAAATAAAGTTGAAGCCACCTCTTGGAAGTTAGATCAAAAAGAAAAAATCCATAAAAAGAAATAAAATACAATAAAAGCAGTCGTTGAGGAGGTCCAAAATCTGACATTATAATAGCAGTTTGTAAAAGGGAAAATGGGGAAAAATGTAGAGTAAGAAATTTTAAAAAAGTTTTTTCAAGAAATCTTCCCAAAATTGAAAAGATGAGTTTCTAAAATAAAAGTTCTCACCAATCATATGCATTAATTATTCAGCAAATATCTGAAAACACTGTTTTTGTGCTAGGCCCTATTCTAAAACTACAGCAAAGACTAAAGCCAAGGATGTGAGTCCCTGCCAAGGAGCTTGCATCCTACTGGGAGAGACAGGTAATAGACAAAGAAATAATGACATAAGTCAGATGGTAACAGGTGTCATTAAGGAAAATAAACCCGGATAAAGGAATATGGAATAATGAGATGGTAGGAAGGGATTGCTATTTTAGGCCAGGTGGTCAGGGAAGGCCTCTCTGATCATGTGACAGTTGAGCAGAGGGAGCGAGAGATGCAGACATGCTGGAAATAGAAGCACAGCAAAAGCAGGATTCTCTGTCCGCCATGTTTACTAATGTATCCCACCTGTCTAGAATAGTGCCTGGCTCATAGGAGGCACTCCAGAAACACTTGTTGAATGAATGAATCGAAGCATAGGGAAAAGCATATGCAAAGGCCATGATACAAAAACATCCTTGGCTTGTTCAAGAATGCCAGCGAAGCTGGAGCAATGGTAGCTTGGGGAGACATAGTAGGTGATGACCTTGTAGGCCACGGCAAGGACTTTGGATTTTATTCTGAGACAGATGAAAATCCATTGCAAGTTTCTAGACATCAGAGTGTCATGATAAAATTGCTGTTGTTAAAGAACTACCCTTGCTTCAGTGAGAAGGTAGACTGTAAGGAGGTGAGGTTGGGGGCAGGGGCACCACACTAGTCCAGGCAAACTTATGAGTGGCTTAGAGTAGGGTAGCATGAGTGGAGATAGTGAGAAATTAGCAGATTATTGATAAATCTCAAAGACAGATCACACAAGACTTGCTGCTGAATTAGATGTCATATGTGAGAGAAACAGAGAAGTTAAGGATGAAGCCAAGGTTTTTAGCCACAACAATTAGAAGGATGGAAGGGGACACTGTTAGATGCAAGGTGTGATGTAAGGACCAGATGCAAGGGTGAGAAATGAGAGGTTATTTTGGACTTAAGAGATGCCTACAAGACATACAAGTGGAGATGTCATATGTATCTCTTTCCTAAACAAGTAAATTCAGGGGGAAAATGCATATTCAAGTTTGTCCTCCTCAGTGCAATGCATCTATCTCAAGGGCCAGATAAGTGACCAGATTTTAAAGCCCATTTCCAACCCTGAGACCTGACAATCCAATAGTCCTCTCCTCACCACTGAAGTAAAAGCTATTGATTCTCCCCTTTTATGACGCCTACAGGATCTTTCCTTCCCCACATGTGTTCCTTGCATTTTTTTTTAAGGATTTTATTTATTTGACAGAGAGACAGTGAGAGAGGCAACACAAGCAGGGGGAGTGGGAGAAGGAGAAGCAGGCTCCCCTCTGAGCCGAGAGCCCAATATGGGGCTCGATCCCAGGACCCTGGGATCATGACCTGAGCCGAAGGCAGCCGCTTAACCCACTGAGCCACCCAGGTGCCCCTATTCCTTGCATTTTCCACACCACATTCTCCCTCTATCCTCTAGCTTCCTGAGGAATAGGTCTCTCTTACTTTGGGAAAAGGAGCAAAGAAATACAAACCCTTCATTTGACCATCCTGTTCTTTCTTCCTCATTTCCCTGACAAAACTTGGTGGCTTCCCCCTCAGGTCTCTGATGGAAGTTTTCTCTTCTTAACCCTGATTTCCCTCTCCAGCCCTATCCCTAACCCAATTCTTTCAGGGCCAAGCCTACAGCCTATTCTCTGATCTATGCACCCTGCCTGGGGCTCTGCACCATTCCCCATGGTTGACTTCTCATGGGGGCATCCCCCAGGATTCATTTTTGGTCATCTGCTCTCCTATCTGCATGCTTTCTCCCTCAGGAAGCTCATCATTCCTATAACTGCAATGAACACCCCTGCATGGATGACTCCCACCTGTTCATCTCAGTCTTTGCTTCTTATCAGAGTTTGACTTCCTAAGAGTATCTAAGCAAAGTGGTGATCTGGCATAAGTGTTGAAATCGGATGGTTCAGGTTTAAGTTTAACTATATACATTTGGGGTTATATTTAGCCCCTCATCCTTCATGAAGTGGGAATAATAATAGTACCTAACTCAGTTTCCATGAGGATTACATGAGTTTTATGTATAAAACATATAGCCCCTGGCACATAGTAAATAATAAATGTTAGCTATCATTATTGGAGGTCACACTATCACTGCAAACTCAATGTATACAACTCCAAATTCTTCCTTTGCTTCTCTCCCTAATTGGTTCTCAAGTTTTTCTGTGCGGTCTCTAGTTCTCAGACCCACAGATGTAACATTTGTGATAATCTTTGATTTACCCATTACTTCAATTTTTTTAATCCAGTCAGTTGACAAAATAGGTCTTGCTAACTCTCCTACTAATTTTTTCTTGAAATGTGACTTCAATCTTTTTCTTTTTTCTTCATCCCTCTGCTACGCCCCAGCTTAGTCCCAATCTGCTCACACTAACGCAGCCGGGGCAGCAACCTCCTCATTAGTCTCTGTGGACTCAGCCTCCAACCCCAAACCATGAAAATATTCTCTCAGAAACTTTGAGTTCTGCTGTTTCCATTCCTAACAGGTGAAGAATCCTCTAAGTAGATAGAACTTTCTAGAACTTCCATAATACAGCTCCATTCTATGCAGTCTTATTTCCTTCCACTCACCTGCCTTGCCAGCTCTGTCTCTCCACTGCTCCAAGACCATCTCATGCTCTTTCTGGCCCCTCTACTTTCGTGCACATTGTTCTCATCTGGAATGCTCCCCTCACTTTTCTCCAGCTATCTCAGTCCTACCTGTTCTTCAGCCCAGCTCCATTTCAGCCTTCTCCCTGAGGTGCATGAAATGAAATCTCATTCATTTGATTACTCCAGCACCTAAAATCAGCATTTGATCCCATTTACATATTATAGCATATTGTTCCCTGAAGTGCAAAATATGTCATTTTTGTATGTATTAGATGATAAGATTTTAAAAGGTTACAATGTTTCCTAAACTTCAGTGTTCCTGCTTCACCCCTTCCCTACCCCATGCCTAGGAAAGCTGTAAGTAAGTGATAAAGACCCAGGAAGCCTTGATGATAATATAAAAATAAAAATAATGATAATGATGATGATGATAATAATAATAATATACACTATGCTGTATACCAAGTACTCATCTAAGGAGCTTTTTACATATATTAATTCGTTTAATCTTCACAATAATTCTATAAAGTAGAGATATTATCTCTATTTTACAGCGGAGGAAACTGAGGCACAGAGAGGTTAAGTAAGTTGACCATGATTGATTACTGACCCAGCGTAATCTTCACACACACAAATATGTGAAAGAATGCAAAATATAATCTAGGAAGACTATACTGTAAAAACTCCATTGAAGACCCAAAGAAAAGAAATCCTAAGACTCGCCCTCACTTCAGTGATACAATGTAACTGTATTTCTGGGTGGTGAAGGGGAAAGAATAAATAGGGATCACATTTTTTTTTTAAAGATAAATTTGTCATCTCTTTATTTCTCTGATTCTAAATGAATCACAGAAGAGACTGGAAAAAACATCCGGTCCCACCCCCATTTCCCCCCCTTTCCCATGTATAAATAAAGCCACCCAACTACAACCATCAGTCCCTCATGAAATAAGCATCCATGTAAATTGGCTACTGCTCTGCCCTAGAAGGAGACACATACTACATAGTATGCTCTGAAAGTCACGTGCTTCTCTTCTTTACCAGTCACAAGGAACACTTTTGGATATGCACAAATAAGGAAGTGCTGTATGAACTAACTTGTGACTGAAAATCAGTCAAGTATTCCCCACAAATAGCAGCTCGTAGGCACCTACCTGAACTCTAGGTGTTCACTCTTTAGAAGAGAGCGTGAGGAGGCTGGAGCCATCCCTCCATGGCTGGCCCAGCAGGCTGCAGTCTAATATGGAAAGCGAATCCCCAAAAGCTGAGCTGTCCCACCAACACTCAGCACCTCCCATGGGTGAAGGAAAGACTGTGGCTTGACTGCAGCACAAGACTAAATGTGGTGAGGTGAAGAGTTGAACAAATCAGTCATTTTCCTGTTGCGTAAGTAGGAATTTGTACCTCTTGGCTTTTTGTTAGAGAAGGAGAGAGAAGTGTGGCTTGTTACCTCAGAAAACTCTGCCCAATGAGAGGCTGGCCCTTCAGAGGATCTGCCCTGGTTGCCACACAGAGTTTTGCAAACCTGGCTTAAAAGTTCTTGAAATAGTTATCTTTGCTTACAGTAGTGGTTAGAAAAATGAAATGGGAATTAAGAAACCTTGTAATATAATACTCTGTACCACCTCGTTGGTATTCAAATATGTTTTTCTAAGCTCAGATGATTTCCATATGGGTGGAAGACTTCAGATTTAATTTTATTAAAGATAATTAACATCCCTCTGAAACAGTAGTTATCTATATACCTCCAGCAAAATATTTATGTGTAAGGATGTTTCACCTGCCGCACATATTCTTGACTGGCATTCAAGTGGATTATTAGCTGTCTTGCCCCTAGCATCTATTCTGTCTTAATGACTCCTATCCTCCTACACTGCTGAAAGTGACTTGAGGCAGTACGGATTCCAAAGGCAGGCTGCCTGCCAGATGAAGCGGAGAAGCTGCAGGAAGCATACACGGAAAGAAAAGTGAGTGCAGTTCCCCTGAGATAGGTGTAAGTTAACGTAACCATGGTTTTTAATCTCCTCATATACTCTCTTTGTAACTATACATGTCTTAAATAATAGGTTCAAAAGAAGCATGATAATAGCTAACAGCTGGACTCTTTCTAGCACTTTCTTATCAAGTACCTTCCAGTTTGCAGCCTCCCAGAACAAAGAGTGTCTCTGTTGCTTAAGCCCAGAAGCTTGATTTATAAACTTAGCATAATGAACCCAGTCAAAATTTTATTACCAACTGGTTTGTACCATAATATATGTGTGGAGCAGCTATTGTATAAGGATGACTTATTTTTGATCTCAGGGTTGTGAGATGGAGCCCCTTGTCTGGCTCCCCGCTCAGCAGGGAGTCTCTTTCTCCCTCTGTCCCTCCCCCTGTTCGTGGTCTCTCCCTCTTTCAAATAAATAAATAAATCTTTAAAAAAACAAAAAAACAAAACAAAACAAAAAGGATGACATTTTAATGCACTAGAACTCTCCCTTTGTTAACTTTCTCGTAGCCCTGGGAATTGTAATGTCCCCTTTATTTGTATTTAGATAGCTGCCATTTAACCAGCTGCCATAAGATAGCCATCTCCATCTGATTTCTTTGGAGCTACAAGTCACATATTAAAGTGGAATCCATATCTTTTATCCCCCTGGGGTAATGAACAGAAAAGATTCTGTCCACAACTGATCTAACACCTGTGTGTTCTCATAAGAGCCAGTACCCAAGTTAAATCTCGAACTACGAGTACTTAGTACAGTCTTTCTGGAACCCACAAATGCCAAGGTACTTGCTCCACGAGACAGCCTGGAACCAAGGTGTAATCAAGCTTTTCACTGGTCCCACTGGACTGGGCTATGAATCATCTCCCTTTCTTACCCAACTGGCACAGATAAATAGCAACTGAGCAGCATTTTGTCTCCTGAAGAGTATAATTTCCTTAAATTAACATAAGGTAATAGCTGTTGTATTCACTTGCAGCTTTTATGAGGCCAGACACATCTCAGGAAGGCCTAACTAATCTCAGGAAGTAACCCACACATGGAAAAAACCTATTACAGAGTTGAAATCCTCTTAAGGAGATGGAGTAGGCAGAATCGTCCTCGCGATCACCTGTCTGGGAAATTTGAGCTGATGGGACCTGAACAGCACTCAGCTCCAAGCAATAACGCCACCTTTTGTGCTCAGGTTCATTTTATTGCCGAAATCATTCTGTCACCTGCCTCCTCCCTAGGGGCTGAGGTAATAAGGGATTGTTACATCTATCGGCAAATCCATCTGGTTCACTGAAATTCATCTCACAAATAGTAGCTGGTTAAAAGATGAGAAAGTGCACAAAGTGGCCTAATTTTTATAAGTCCCCTCCCCCCCCACAACTTTGTGGGAAAAAAGCACCAGTTTTTCCTTCACTGGAGCAGCAACCTGTAAAGTAATGTATCCTTTCAGAGCATTTAGAGATGACCTACAGTGGGGCTGATATTTATTCCACTGGTTTCTGGCATTTTATTCTGGTTAAACTTGCAGTGTTTCGGTCTTCCACTGAAAGTGACTTTTTTCCCTAATCTTCATAACCTGGAAGGAGTGCAGATCATTTAGGCATATACAGAAGGTAATAATGCATTCATAATATAAACAATAAGTAGGAAAAGTTTTCTTCCTTGTGGATTCCTGCTAAATATTTTTAGAATCAGGGGTGCCTAGGTGGCTCAGTCATTAGGCATCTACCTTCGGCTCAGGTCATGATCCCAGGGTCCTGGGATAGAGCCCCACTTTGGGCTCCCTGCTCAGCAGGAAGGCTGCTTCTCCCTCTCCCACTTCCCCTGCTTGTGTTCCCTCTCTCGCTGTCTCTCTGTCAAATAAATAAAATCTTTTTAAAAATTAAAAATTTTTAAAAAATAAAT